CTGACCCAATAAATCAATTTAAATCACATCCAATTATTCAATCTGGTTTAAAATTAGTTGACGAAAATGATCAATATAAACATATGCTTCAATTAGATGATTCTTTTGAATCTGAAGCTTGGATTGGTAAAATAAACATTCAATTCAATAAAATATTTGAATTTTATTTTTATTTAGATCTATTTAAATTTGATGAACAATATGAAGTAAATGAAAAAAAATATCATGAAATTCGAAAAACAATTTTTAAATATACTGATGATGAATTTGGATCAAGTTCAAATTCATCAGATAGTGATGAAGAAGCTGATGATAATGAAGAAAAACAACAAAGAACTATCGATCCAAGTGACACAAATTTAGTAACGCTTCGTCATAAAACATGTTTAACAATTCAATCAAATATTTCTGCTAAAGAATGTGCTAAGAAATTACTTAAAATGAATTTATATCGTAGACAAAATGTATGTATATTATTCATGAAAAAAAAAGAATATTTTAATCTTGATTTTTAGAGGGATGTATGTGAAGTAATTGTTGATATTTGTGGACAGCAACCTACATATGAACGTTTTTTTGGTTTAGTTGGAGAAAATATTTGTTTATTAGATAAAGATTATATTTATTGGTTTGAAAAAAGTTTTCGAGATCGATATATGGATGCTGATCGTCTGGAAAATGTTAAATTAAGAAATGTGACTAAATTTTTTGCATATTTACTTGCTACAAATTCCATTCACTGGAGTGTATATATTCATTATTAATATCAAAGATATTATGTTTTTATTTTCCTTCTAGGTATTTAAATGTATTCATTTAATTGAAAAAAATATAAGATCATCATCTTGTGACTACTTGAAAAATTTATTTATGGAATTAATTAAATGTTTTGGCTTTAACAAACTCAAGGATCATTTAACTGATCCGTAAGTTATTGAAAGATTAAAGAATAAAAATTAATTTTTGTTGGTTTTTATTTTAGAACATTGAGAAATTGTTTTCAAGGTCTTTTTCTACTTGATAATTCAGAAAATGCTCAATTTTGCATCAAATTTTTTACATCAATTGGTCTTGGTAGAATAACGTAAATGTTGAATTTAATATCATTTAATATAAAATGTTTCTTTCTTGAATAGAGATGAATTGCACGAATTCATTATATCAAATCCAACACCATCTCCACCTTCATTTATGTCAATATCTGATAATATCATGAAAGATTTTTATGATCGTCATCTTCGTTATGAAGAAGATAAAAGAAAAAAAGAAAAAATATAAACGTCATAAGGTTTAAATTAAACAAAGATTTTTTTTTCTTTTTTGATTGTATCAGTTTTTTTTGTTATTACTTGTTATATAAGTCAAATAAAATAATTTGAAACTCGTTTCAAAAAACTAAAGTATATGTAGCTGTTACAATGCCCGAAACGTATTTCACTCTTTGAATCTTTGAAAGATTTTAATATATTTCTAATAAATCAATGATATAACACCAACTATAAGTGTATTAAATTAATAATTTGAAGAAACAACTGACGGACTTGAAAGTAAAAAAGAATTTAAATTTAATTAATATAGTTTCATAAAACATTATATTTAGTATCAATAAATATAAAATGAAAACATGATTTATCATCATTAGCACAAAGTGATCATGTTGAAGTATGTAAAGGTTAATTAATAAATTTCAAAGGTAGATGTATTGGTATTAATTGAGATTAAAGACGAATTTGACCAAAACATGAAGCTTTAAAAGATAAAATTCAATTTAAAACAAATAAATTACTAAAATATTTTTCAGTTGGAAATCATGTTATGAATTTCAAATGGAAGATTGAAAGATGATACTGGTATGATTGTTGCAATTGATCGAACAAAAGCTATTCTCTTAAATGGTGGAACGAAAGGTGAAGTTTGCTTTTGTTTATGAAATAAAAAAAAACAATTAAAATATTCTTTTTTGCATTAGATGCCTATTAGAACATCCGATCTTTAAATTTTTAAAGAAACAACAAGAAGTATTTATTCAACTGGACAATTTCAACTTAAAGATTTACTTAATATATCGTTTGTTCTTAATTAAAAAGTAAAGACAAATAAAATATTTATTTTGAATATATTTAGTAGGGCAGATACAAATGGTGCTGTTATTTGAATTGAAAAATAACGTTTACATATATTAATTATGGATGGAAAAGTTGAACATATTCGAATTCAATCCATCGGAAAAATAAAAATAAATCGAAATGCAATTACCTTCATTGAAAAAGTAATAATTTAAATCTTTCGAATATTGTTAATGTTACTGATGGACCATTTATTAATCATCAACGTCAAATAAAAGATTTTTATCGTCATTTTGTTTTTATTCTTTCTTGTATATTAACTAAAAATGGAGGTTTATTTGTATGTAAACGCAAGAAATTTATTATTAGGTAGTGAAACATCAAAAATTTCTTTAATATCTTCATCAGCAAATCCAATTAATGTTCCATATATTTACACGTGTTATGTCATCTTCATCTTCATACATAACATCAAGTGGTTTTTCATCAATACATTCAAATAGCTCAGCATTATCTACCAGAGTCTGACTCGGGTTCGGGTTGGGTCACGAAAAAGTTATCATGTCGGACTCTGTTATCTAGTAGTGGAACACCAACTACAACTGAAGGTGGAAAAGGACGAGGAAAAATATCTTTTTGAACCTTAAATAATATTCTTCGTGATGCACCTTTAATTAGATTAACAGTTAGAATTTTCGAAGGATCCTATAAAGATTATGTTGGAATTGTTAATGATGGAGCTGAATCTGAATCAATATGTAAAATTGGCCTTCAAGCTAAATGTCAAATAATTACAGTTGATAGGAATCGAATTGTATCAACATCGTATGTTTTTAAAAATTAAAACAAAAAAATTTAATGAATTTAATCTTTTGATTAATTTAGGAATGTTTCTCGTCAATCAGGTGAAATGCCTCATTATTATAGAATTTTTCTTTATGGTTCTCAAGCTTCATCTTATGCAACACTTGGTTGACGTACACTAATGATTGCAAATCAAACACGTATGCATAATGGATTTCGAACATCTCGTTATAGAAATATAGTTTGAAAAACAAATTTATATCTTTAAGAGCCAGCCCATATAAGCCACGACCGATCTCATAGAGACCCTGCTCAACCGATGTCGTTAGATCTTACTCAATTTGATATATGTAATAGAGGGAAGTGTTCTAAGAATTTTGACGCAAGGCGTTTCAAAAAATATTGATACCTCGATTTTTTATGAGCATTCTACGAAGGTCCCTGATAAGGACTCTATGCATCAAAGAGAGAGGGGGGGGGGAGGGGTACTAATGCAACAATATCTCACGAATGGCTTTACAGATTGAGCTGAAAGTTTTTTCAGACATATATCTCAGTGACTTCTATTTACCATCAAATTTCTGTTTGAAAATATTGGATCATTAGGATTTTATGAAGCACTCAATATATGGAAAAAGGTTCATTTTTGATGACTTTGGTGCTTCATAACTTTTGATTGGAATGATGTAGAGGTCTAAAATTTTCACTATGGATAGAGCACTTAGAGATGTATTGCCCCTGATAATTTCAGCTATCTATGTTGTTCCATCTGGTCAAGAGATTCCTCTCAAAAATTGTTTTTTGATGAAAATGGAGATTTTCCGGTTTAGCATTCTCCCAAGAAATGGATTACCTAGGAAGCTGGCCTTTTGAAGTTTGAAGTACTCTATCTAGACTATAGTTCTAGAAAAAACCAGCGTTAGATCTCTAGAAATGGCTTGCACCGGAGGTCATCTTTTGAAGGTCTATCTGAGATAAGTATACGTTTTACACGAGTTTTGGGGTTCGATTTCTCGCCTTATTCTATACGTTAGATCCAAGCAATTTTGATGCAGAAAATGATGATCATGTTTCTCTCTATATGTTTTGAATTCTCTTCACTTAAACAAAAGCAAAAGCCATGATATTCAATAAGATGTTTCAGATGAAAGAAGACGAACTTTTCTCTTTACTAAATATTACGCCACAGTATTATACATATGTATCTGTACTGTTTTCTTTTCTCGTCGTAATCAGTTAGCAACTACTGGCATTTTAACTTTTCTGTGTTACGATATTTTTTGTCTCATATGTTTATTTTTGTTCTGTTAAGTAATTATCGTAATCTTATTCATCAAATAGTTTATCTTAATAATGATGAATTAATTCTTCAATTTCAATTGAATGCTATTACACGTAAATATCGATTTCAAACTGTTATATATGATTATGCTACACAATTATCATCTGATAATCAAATTCTTTATAATCGTATTCGACAACGTATCGATTTAGGATTAGATTATGTTAATTTATCGACTACTGATAATCTTAACATTAGTTATAATATGATTTTTCCTGTAAAAACAGATCCTAATGATCGTGTTCATGCATTACAAATATCATTCGAAATGAAAAAAGTTCGTCAATGGTTTCGTTCCGCTCTATTTTTAGGTGCTAAAGTTTTTACAGTTGCAACATCATTACATGCTGTTTATTGTCCAGTTTGGTTACTCGTACAGAGTGATCCAACTCAATATATCGAACAGATTCCAGTTTGTGTTTGTCAAATACCAACACAACCATGGCGTGAAGAATTTATGGGTTTTCGAATTGATGAAGGATGTGATGGTCGAAAACCAATTGAAGAAACATGTGATTATCACAAAAAAGCAAGAAGTTGTTATCGAAAGAAATCGGATACAAGTTGGGCCGGTGCTCAATGTTGTTATGATGAACAAGGTAAATTCATTGAACATGGAAACGAAGGTGCTGGAACACTTGATGTTATATCACCAGATGCAAATAGTTGGTTTAAAAAACGTTTAAGTATGTTTGGTCATTTCTTTTCTGATTTTCTTTCTTATTGGGCTTGTTGTCGAAATTCTTTAATGAGTGAAGCAATGTGCAAAGCTTATTACAATTATCGTCCTGCAGGACGATGTGTAAACATTGAATCTGAATCAATTGAAATACATAGAAAACCTTATTTTGTTACACTTAATGATATTTCATATAGATTTCGAGAACAACGTGAATATATATTATTATTTCTTCCAAAACTTAATGGTCTAGAAGTTCAAGTACGTCTTACATCTAATAGTAATGATAGTAAGATAGATTCAACAGTTGGAATTATTGCTTTTGTTATTGGAATTGTAGAATTTAATAAAAGTGTTCAATTTGAACTTTTTCCAATGCATCAACTTCTCGAAATTCGTGTTGATACGCGGCTCATTGAATTACCTGATGAAGAATTTGTTGTACCAATGATTATTTATGAAGATGAACATGTCAAAATTAAACGTAAAGTTAACGGAACATTTAAAATTTGCTTTCGTGGAATTCCTCTTCAATTTCGTGCACATATTCGTCCAACATTCGACTTTTTTTACCTTGAGACACTAGTAGAACAAGATATATTTAGTAAATTACCTACACCATCCTATGGTTTACTTGGTGATCTTACAAGTCTTATATTTCCCAATGGAACAAGAATATTAAACAATAAAAGTAATGAAAATACTTTATTCGAATATGGTGAATCATGGCGTATATTACAGAATGCATCACTTTTTTATTATTAATTTGATGATATTAATCAACTTCAACCATTATCATTTGACATTGGATCTAACTCTTTCAAAAAAAAAAAATCTTTGAAGAAACTAATTAAAATGTTATATTAGCTCAACAAAATTCTAATAATGAAACATCACAACAAGGCCAAGAATACTCTATTCAATGTGACTTAAATAGTAATAAAGAAATTTCAATGGAGAATAATTTGTATCGGTCCCATCAATATGATCAACATCATTGCATATCATTGACAGTTTTTATTAAACATGATGTTGTTTTTTAAAGAATAATTTTAATACGGTATCTAATCACAAATGTTCATACTTATTTTTATTATTTTTTGTTCTTATATTTATGTGCTGATAAGTGTCTAGATATAATATTTTTGTTTGTTGTTATTATTTTATTATTGTCATAAAGAGAAATGAATTTAATCGATTTATACGGAAATTGTTGGAAACACCGTTGTAGCAGTACTCACCAACAAGATTAACACATTACTAGTGGTATTGGACCCCCAAAACTCAAGATTTCAAGAGATCCGAAAAAATTATTTCTGGTCTCGAAAACATATTCTACATAATTTTTAGACTAGTCAAGTATATTTTAGGAGATCAGCGAAAGAATGAATTCTATAGTCTGAAGGCTCCAGAAAAGTAGACAAGACTTTTCAAAAACGCATGTGAAAAAAATTGGTCGTATAAACAGTAGAATATTCAAGTTTTGAGCGCGAACACGTTCAAAGTATTTTTTTTTATCGAATATAAATAGGTGCATAAATGTTTACAAAGTTTGTTTCATGAACGTGTTCACGCTCATTCTATCTCATCCACATGTCAATCACACGAAAGTCTAAGCTGCACCTGTTTTTTGACAGCATTTTTACTATTATGTTTCGAACGATAATTGATAACCATGTTTTCACTTAACAAAATCAGATAATTATGAGCATTTTAAGAAAGATAATTTTTGAACCCTCAAAACTTTACACTTTTATACGGTTTTCAATTAGTATTAGTTTCTAGATCAGTGTTTTCACGTATGAAATGATATTTTTAAAGGATTTTGTGAATGCTGAAAAATTCAAAACTGAAGCATAGTAATGCATACATTTATCTATCATTTGGCTATTTATAGCTGTATGTACAAGTGAAATGCTTGGTTATTTAAACAAGAAATATAGACGAATTCTTTTAGCTTGTGCAGACTAATCAATTTGCATGAAACAAACTTCTCCCCTTTTCATTCAGATTTTGATGACCACATAAATGCATGTGAGACATACAATTCAATAATTCAAATTAAACAATTGCCGATGTCTACGAGCAACTAAATATTTAAAATAATTGAGAGTTTAATTTCGATCTCTGCTTGCACTTATGTCTAAGTTCGAAATAAGAAAACTGAAGTTCACTGCAGAAAATCGATCAATTCTATATTTAAAAATATGCTATTTTAAAATATTAGTTTTTTTTTAAACATGAATCAAGTGTTAAATCATTACTCATATCGAAGGGAATCAACTTTGACAATAAAAAAAATCCTGTTTCAAACTATATATTCAAGTTGATTTTATTGAACACATCAGTCACAGTTATTCATTTGAATTGAATATTTCACAGTTCATAACTATAATTTTCTATTAAAAAATTATATTTCATATTGCTTAAAAGGATACTACACTGTCATCACTGGGAAGATCTAATATTCTCGTCGATGTACAAGGAAAAAACACTTGAAGACTGCTGTTATAGGTATTGGGAAAAATACTTAAAAGCGTTGTCGAAAACCAGAGACGGATATCTCCTTTTGGAACAATCGGAACTAAATACTTATAGATCCAAGTGGCAAGAAGGTGCAAAATCGATTAGNTTGAAGATATTCAACAATCAATGAAGATGGTCAATATGAAACATTCTCATTTATGATTTGTGGAATAAGCTATAAGAATAATATAAAACTAATTAAATAGCTCTTTTCTACTCCAGTCTGTTAGCATTCAATTAAAATAACGAATCGTTGAGAATAAATAAGTTTATATGTCACAATTAATTTATTTTTTTTTTGCTTTATCAATAAAAATTCGATTTTCTCTATATTTGAATTTAATTGAACAAATCTTTTTTGATAAATCGAAAAAATCTTGAGATTAACATAAAGTTGTATGTGTACTTAAGGGTCTTCAATGAACGAAACAACAACTTTTCTTTCAATCAATCACAATATATATATACGTAATATGTCAAAAGCACGTTGTTCTGTGAGTAACAAAGTAAACATAAAAAATTATTGTTTTTTTTTTCTTCTTCTAATACATTTACTTCTGTTTTTATTATAATCTCGTGTCGGACTCATTTATAATAAAACATACACAAAGTACATTTTACTTTTATGTGTATTGTATGGTGAAAGAAAAAAAAATGACAGCTCAAGGACAAATTCAAAAAAAATAAAAATGGCAAGGTTTTTTGTTTTTATTGACAATCGATTAGTTAACTGATTGGATTCGTTTGTTTTATATATTGATCGATAATAAAACTATTTAATAATTAATTGCATATATTTATTTATCGATATGAATAAATGTCGTTTTATAGTTCTATCACATATAATTAATCAAGCCTAAAGCAAGTCAAGAAGATTATGATTTAAAATTTGAGAATGTCATAAAAGAAATTTTATGCACTAAGAAGAACAATAAAGAATGAATATCACAAAAAACAGGAGTTAAGAAACCAAATAAGAGATTCGTAATAAAAAAAAAAGAGAAAAGAAAAAAAGAAAAAAAAAAAGAAACAGAATGTTTCATTATATTTTGATTTAAAATATTGATGAAGTTAATCATATAATTCAACTTCTTGGTTAAATGTCCATTTTTGACTTGGACTGTTTATATCACATTGGGCTAAAAGAAGTTTTTTCATTTAAAAAAGAATAAAATAATTTAATAAATTATTTCTTACTAAGCATAACATTTGAATCGCCTATAACACCTAAACATTTTCCTTTATAATGTTCACTTTTTAATTGAAGTGTCTAAAAAAGAAAAGAATTACTTTTTTTTTTTTTTTTTCTTAACTGTTTTTTCTTAATGAAAACCTGTTCATTATATTCCCAATTTTGTTCACCACGATCATCATTACACATTGTAAAAATTATATTTCGATTATCTTTTAATTTTCCTTCAGCTGGTTCCAAACATAATTCATCAAAATAAATTTTATTTGATGTTGTATATAAAAATATCTGTTTTAATTTAATCAATCAAAAAATAAATAAATAAATTTAATTCATACTTGATTTCCACCATCTTTATGACAGGTTTGAGCTAAAACTTTTGTATTAAGTCCTTTTGATACATCTGGACCCATCATAGAATCTAAACAACGATGATTTGATGTCGAAATCTATGAGAAAAATTTTCCTTTCTTTTTATGTCAATATGTTAAAAAATGAACAAACTGTTCCAATATATCGATGATTGAAAGGAAAATTTTTTAATTGAAATCTTTTTAAATAATCTTTAAATGATGAACAATTTAAATTTTTTCTAAGTTGTAATCTGTCCGAAACATCACCACCATTAAGACGTTTTATATCAGGATTAACAGCATAAATTAATTGTTTATATTCATCTAACCAAACTAATGCAACACGTTTATAATTTTTAAATATTGTTACAAAAACCGATTCAGATTCAAGAAATTTATATGGAGTTTCTTTTCGAAAAACATGTGCAACATGTGAACATGGATGAATTATTATTCTTCCACCACACATCCAACATTTAAATGACATTTCACTAAATAAATTATTTTTTTTTCAATTCATTTTTTATCATTAATTAAAATAAAATAAAATTCTTACAGATTTTCTCCACCCCAAATTTTAATTCCTTCATCATACATTCCTAATTCTTCAAAATAAAGACGATCAATTGCATAAAGTCCACCAGCCATTGTTGGTGTTCTAAAAATTTTAATTAAAAAAAAAAATAGAAAAAACTGTAAAATTACTGAATAGGTAATGCTTGATTTGATAATGAAAATCCTTGAACCTTTGACCATCGAAATATCATTTTCCAACTAAATGTTCCAAATATATCAGTTGCTCCTTGTAATAATTGAAATGCATCCCATGTTAATACATCAATTATTGGACATACAATTGTTTTTCTATATATTAAATAAATAATATTTCCTTTTATATTATCAATAGAATATAATAAATTTTATAATAAAAAAAATAAAACAAACCGATCTTTTTGTATTTCTTCAAGTAAATACAAAAGCCATCCATTCAGTACTTCAACATGAGAATCAAGAAACATTAATGCTTCTCCTGTTGCTATTTTGGCAGCTATAAATAGAAACAAAAAAAAAAAGAAAATTAACTAATTAAACTAAACTAAAGTAAAACTACAAAATACCTTTTACTCTTGAACTAATTAAACCTAAACGTTTTTCATTTCTTAAAAGCATTGTTCGAACAGGAAGTGTTTTAATAAATTTTTCCAATGGTTCATGAAGATATTCTTGAAAATAAAATAAGAAACAAACAGATATTAATTATAAATAATAATTAAAAAAAAAGTAGAAACCTCTATCAACACTAGCATCATCAAGTAAAATAATTTCATGAATTAATTTCCATGGTGTTCTATTAATAATACTAACAAGTGTTCGTAACAATGTTGAATTTCCTTCATTATGAAAAACAATAATGATTGATGTATTTGGTAATGGACCATGAAATCTTGAATGAGCTTTACAACTAAATTATTTCATTTAGGTTTTTTTTATTTTTGTTTTTATAAAAAGTTCAAAAATTCTTACTGTTCATTTCTAATATCAGGCATAGCACGATTTAAAGCTATTTGATCACTAACAGCAATATCAAACATATTTTCTGGAAAACGTCGTTTAGATTCTTCTTGAAGATGTGGTGGTGGAAGATAAGGTTCACCCATTTCTCCTGGCCAATTTGATGGATTTGGATCTTTTTGTGAAACTGAAAATAAAAAAAATTTTTTTTTTGTTTTTTTTTTATTTAACAAAATAAAAATTGTTTTACATTGATCGGGAACTTCAAAAATTAGTTCATCATCTGAACATTCTCCATTTTTTTGACATGTTTCTTGTTCATAAGCATCTTTATATTTAGTTCTTAGATTTTCTTTTAGTGGATTTTCAACAATATTCTTTGATTGACTTTCTATTTATAATTATATGAAAATATTTTCAAACAATAAAAAACAAATAAAACAAACTTGAAGAAGGAATATAAATTTGTTCAGGTTGATCAGAATCCGAACAAAAATGAGTTAAGACTTGACCAATACCACAAAATGCATCTAGAAATGGTTTTATTTTTTAATTAATAAATCTGTTTTTTTTCTTGTGGTTGTTGTTGTTGAAATAAATATTATTCTTACTTTTAATAAGAGTATTTTGGGGACAATAATTTGATGAACTAAATTGATTTGTAAAGAGGAAAATTGATAGAAGAATAATTATCCAGACAACTGATGTTAATATTATAATATGAATTCTTTCTTGTGAGAAAAGTTTTGATTCAGCCCGACGATTTGAATTTGGTGGCATTGTGTCTTTCGAAGTTAATCTACCTATTAACGATGGAGATGATGACGATGACTGAGCTCCACTCCCACTTCTTTTTTTCATACTAATAACGCAATTTTCTTTTCTTTTGTTTTATATCCTATTGGACATAAATTATCACTATATCAAGGAGAGTAACCTGAAACAAAAAGAAAGGTAAATCGTTGTTTAAAAAACAATAATACTATTATTATATGAAATATACTTGTTCCAATCAAAATATTACAAAACACTTTAATTAGATTTATTGTTTCATAGCGCCATCTTTTATTTTATTTTTTTTATCAGTTATTATATTTTCATGTACAATAAAAACGTAACTAATCGAAACATTGTTTTTTATAGCAATCACACTCAAACTAGTACATGAGATTTTGCTTGTCAATACAAATTACTTGTCCAACTTGTGGCGTAACTAAGAATGAGCTAGGCTGACTGTTGCTCTTCCATCAAAAGAGAGAAAACCATTGACACTATATTTTATGGATTTCTCCGCAAAGTCGTCGATCACTGCCCTATCAACTGCGATCTTCTGAATACACTTCAATGCCAAACGAAATCTATAGTTTCATCAATAACTTTCCATTGTTTTGATTTTCTGATAAAGTACTAAATTTGTCAATGTCATTAGAATCTTCAAGTACTTTTCTTCTGTTTGAATTATCTTTTATTAGAAAAATATTTAATGCAAATTTGCTCATTATTATACGAGAGAAATCATATAAATAACATAAAAAGACTAGTCCCACTTTTGTTTGTTTTGTCACTTCAATAAAAGAATTATAAAAATGTCATTAATGAAGCGAAGTTTTGTCTTAGTTTTTATTTAATGTTTTATTCAGGTTTCTCTCAAAGAAAGGCGAAAATTTAGTTTTGAGTAATTAAATGAATCATATGTTGCACAATACATAAGCAGAAAAGGATTGACAAAAATCCGTGTAATTATGCAAGATAAAAATACTATTTCAATTATATGAAGCTAATCAAGATCTTCAATCTATTGACTTTTTTCAATCGAAATTTTCAAGAATAAAATATTTTAGTAATTTAATAACTGGTATGTAAAAATGACTAAATTTATATAAAGATTACTTTATCATTCAACAAAATCTTTGCTGATTAATCAAGCATATTGATTAGTATTTCTATGTTTTATAATATGGTGTTAAATATTTTTCAAGAAAAAAACAACCAGTGAAAAATCTCTAGTGACGAAGCCAATTGTGTGGCGGAAGGGCATTGAATTGAATGTAATGCTCATCGCCGAAAACGAGATCGTCGAAAAGTGAGATCGCAGAAATTGACGCCGAAACAAACATTGTCGAAAAGAAAGATCGCCGAAATAGATATCATCGAAATAAAGATCATCGATATAAAGATCGCCGAATTTTTTTCGATGATCTTTATCAGTTATAAATTCTTTCCGCAATCATTATTTTCGTTCACTCATTCGATATGAATCGCATACAGAGNTCACCATTCGTAAATGATGATTAGAAGATAACTAATCAATACTTACTAAGTCAGAATCAAACAAGAAATATCAAAAACATAAGCATAGTTACAAGTGTTTGGCGCAACTGCATATGAGTGTGTAAGATTGATTTTTCGTTTTCTCAGTCAATGCTCGATGTATATGGCTGAAATTTTGCCAGCAGATAGAGTAACACAAGGTCTATCTGTGGTATAAATATGGAACCTAAAAGATGTTCCATCATAGAGAAATCAAAGAAACAAGCCTTTCGGTTTTTCATGACCGGGGGGATATATCAATGTTCAATAATAAAAATGAAATTGTTTCACGAGTTCGAAAATACTTCAGCAACGTTTTGGCACCAAACCTATGCACCTAGAAAAATCATCTGACTTTAAATCAATCTGCTCTTACATCAGTAGTACATAATCTTAAATATTCGATATCCTAATTAGAAGATAAATTATATTTCCTATGAACATCTACAACTTCCTGCAAAATTATTAATCATGAAAACATTATTTTATTTCATTGACGAAAATGAAAGCGTTAGTGACTTCTCAATCGTTTATTACTCATACCGACACCCACATCCATCCCAAAATACGATCCGCCTAAAAATGACGCATCATGCAAGTCTCTTTCATTGTCTGGCTGTAGAAGACCGTTACAATGTGTAATATAATTGATCTAGATATGCGACGTGAATACATTTATAATGTTGAATTTCAATGTTTGTTTTGAAATAAGATTCAATAGATCAAATATCATCACAATAAGTAAAAAGATGCATCCAATTTTCTAGTTACTACATAAGCGGGTAAAGCTATTTAAGCATGTCACATTCTCAAGAGTCAGATTTCTTTATCGAAATGCACACTTTTATTTTCTCTATTCAATCACATATTTTTTGGTATGAGAATAAAGCTCAACGATTGACCAAGCTATAATCGATAAATATGAGAAATTTATTATGATTCAGTCGTTAATATTCATATCGAGTATTTGAACATTCAGGATTATTCGAATACCATCCTTCTACTTTATCTAGACAGTTCTTTCACAGCTCGTAAAAAAGTCAATTCGAAAGAATTCGGATAAAACGCATATTATAAGCTAAGGATCTTCGATTATGAACTTCATGTTGTATTTCACAATAAGTGTTAAATTATTGAGGAAAGTAGTTTATTTTATTTATAATAAACGGATATCAATTTTCGAGCGTATAAAAGAATGGTTCACATAGTGTACTACCTAATATATTCAATGCTAATACAACACAAAAAAAAACACATCTTGCTGTTCACTGTGCATATTAGTTTTAATTTTATAACTAACTTCTTTCGATTGCAGCTTCTAAACATGGCAACGTCCTGTAATAAAAACATCACACTCTGATCATACTTTGACCTAGCCGACCTTTTCTTGTGTTCACCATTTTTCAGATAGAAAATATGATAGAAATTAAGAGAAATAATTCAACTTTAATTCATGAGTAAACAACAATTTTACAATCACAATATCAAACTAAATTTTTACTACGACAACGAATAATAATGATAGAGATGTTATGTAGTTTCTGATTGTTCCTTAAGAGAGTTTGAAGAATGATGAGTTTATTATTGTACGAAACTGTTGCTCCTCATTCGTAATTGTCTTTCATCGACCGTTATCGTGGCCATATTATTTTTTGTCGTCGTACGATTTGTTGGATCTACTTCATTTAGTTGTTTACCGAGGCATTTTACGACGAATTTACGTATATGTTGTCGAAATCCATAGACAGATATGTAGAGAAAAAATGCATTCATTGCATTTCTTGTAAACATTAATGTGTTTGTAGCAAGGAATACCGTATCTGTATAGTCATGTCCTATAATCTGATCTGCAAAAACAGAAAAACACAGACGATTAGGTAGAGTACAAATAACATATGTCAAACACATTAGTAACAACATCACTGAAATGCGACGATTGCGCTGAGCACTCCTTGCTAACTGATCATTTGTAGTTGTTTGTCTTAAGATAAGCTTTTTTACTGTAAGAAGTGTACACGTAATGATGACAGTAAATGGTAGAAAATACATGATCACTA